GTCTGGGGGTCCCCTCATTTGAAGCCAAGGAAATGTTGGTTGAAGGGAACAAGCTCCATATAGGCATTGGAGCCATTTCTGGTCCCAGGGAATCATCCAGGGAGGAGTCAGCCACTGGAATGATGCTCCCTCCTCCTGTATCGGTCTCGATATCGAGGAAAGGAAGGGCAGCGATGAGGTTTGGGATGGTACGCATCCAGACGGGTGTCGCCAAATCGGCATTGGTGATTGGAGCTGATTGTTGATCCCTGTGGAGAGGTGTGTGGTGCAGTGTCCCCTCTAAGCTGAGTTAGTGTGAGCTAGCTCACCGTTTTTTAGCCTCTGGCTCAACATTTTTGTCTTAGCTCAGGAGGGATGGCTCCAGAGCAAACTAATTTATGCAGTAGCCAAATCGCTCACTCACAACTTTAATGCCAGTAGTTCACAAAGTAGAATTTTTGCTCACAAGGCTCCACAGCTTAGAGGGAGAGTCAGGTCTATCTCATCCGTCCTGGACTCCAAAAAGCGGAGTGACTGAGTGGATGCTGAGGGTTTCGATACTGGAGAGTTCACCCGATGGATTGGTGAGTTGAGCCGTTGAAGAGGTGGAACCACTGAAGTCCAAGTTGGGTCCAGTATTGGAGACTTGGTGGTGGTGTGTTTGCAAGTCATGGATACTGAAGTAGAGCTCGGGGACTTTCGGTGTCAGTCTGTCTGTGGGTCCTTGTGCTTGCCCGACTTGTGGCCTTTCTCCCTTTTATACTTTTTAGCAGGGGAGGTCAACAAGGATCTGGAGGTCGATCCCGATCTCTTTGGAGCTGATGCACCCTTGTGGGGCATGGTCTTAGTCAAGGTGTGCAAAGACTGGCTCAGAGACATGACAAACCCCATCGATGCCAAAGTCGATTTGCCTGTTTCTCCCATATTGGAGGTTTTCCTAGCCATTTTGGAAGGGGGCAAGGCGGATTCCAGTAATGCTGCCTGGAGCCTCGCTGCTCATTTCTTCTGTTGCTGTTTGTTTTTGTTTTAAATTTTGAACAATCGATGCAGGAATCTGTCCAGTGTGCTTCCCCCAGGCACAGGAGGCACAACGAATGGCCATCCGACAAGGCTGAGCTTGCTCCCACACCAGGAACACCTCTTGAAGAACCCCCACATAGACTGAGATGAGGGAAAGGGTGGGAGACAGGAGAGAAAGTTCAACGAAAGATGGGTTTGAAGCGGTTTTTGCTAGGACATTGGAGAAGATAGGTTCAGTGAAGAAGATGTTGAAGAAAGGGGAGCTAAAGAAGAAAAGTAAGTTTACCGACCGGAGTGCTGAGGGAAAGTGGCCTGTTTACACAGCGGTCAGAAGAGAACTGGTGGGATGTCCGCACCCCACCCCGGTAGGCATGCATAGTGGAGTTCCTGTGCATGCCCTGGGGAAACACCTTGAAAATCCCTTTTCTATGGAGCTTGGAAATAACTGATTGGAGTCAGCGCAGGCACCTTATCCCATTGGTGTGATGCACAGAGACCATGAAGATTATTTGTTTCCTGCCCACCTCACCACCCACCTAGCACCTTCTCTGCAGTTATTCATGGAGGCTATTTTGGGAATGAAGCAGGAACGAATGCTTTTCTTTTCCCATTTATCTTCTTTCCCATGTCAAATGCTACATTCAAATTTTATTCAGTGGGTGTAGATTTCAACTCAGTTGTCAAAATTATGAGCAGGGCAACAGACCTAATTGCATAGAGGGAACAGACATTTGAAATGCCTTTTCAAATGAAAGTCTCAAGACTTGGAGTTAGACTTCAAAGCGGCACTTGAGAGGTTGAGGTAAGGCCAGTGTTCTTTGTTGTGGGTGAAAAAGCACTGGAAACTATCTCTGTGGTGGGAAGCTGCTGGGAAAATGGCCAGGGCACTGAAGGAAAGGCGTGGAGAGCTAATGTTTTGCTTCTTCTAACTATCTATCTATCTAACACAGATGTCGCTGAGTAATGAAAGGCTTGCTGTGACCTAATGCCTGCAACTGGTATTTTCTGCAGGAATTCTGTAACTGCAATACTTAAGCAATGGCTTTTCAGCTGATCAAGACCAACTACAAAATCCCATCTTTTGTCAAAGTATTTTCAATTATGCATGTGCCTCCCCACCTATTTATTATAATTAGAATACACTTCAGCTTTCTTGTTCTGCAATTTTTGCCATAATAGGTTAAAAAAAAAATGTTTCTAAATAGACACATCGAAAACCAAAACGAGTCCATAGTCTGTTTTCCCAATTACTCTTGATAAAGAATGCTGCTAAAGGAAAGACATCTTGGAAATCAAATTATCTCTTATTGTTTTCTGTCAATTGTACTTGAACACAAAACAACATTCTAAAGACAGGAGATTCAAAATCACTAACATGCATCAAAGATACTAACATTTGTCTGCAATGAAATTGCATATAGAACACTGCAAAAAATGCAAAAGGGTTTAATTTAAACTTTTAACCGAATTGCATGAACAGAATTAAAGGGGGGGGGGTAACACTATCCTTATCATTTTGTTCTGAACTAGGCATGTATATTTATGGCAATAAGATTAAAGAGCTGCTAACGGATGCAAAAGAAAACCTTTCATTTTGTTTTAGTAAGGAACAGAATGTGCCCAAGAAGTGGGAAACAATTTGTTTTTCCTTTCCACAACTTTTTGGCAGACACTCAAGATGCAGAAGGAATTTTGGACATCATAAGAGAAAATGATTGCAGTGGCTGAAGAAAGTCCTAGCTTAATCAGACACAGTGAAAATTTTTGTTTTTGCAGTGCTGCAACTATGCAACCCACAACAACATCTGTGCCAACGCATTTCAATAGTGTTGCAGCAATGCCCCACTACCACAAGTGCAAAATAAATGACAGAGCTCTGTGGACACACACTCAGCTTCAGGCATGCTGCAATGTCAGCAGTATCAGCTCTTCTCAATCTAAGCTTGCAGAGAGCACTAACACTGCACTTCAATATCTAACACCCTCCAGACACATCAGCTTATTTTATTTTAAAGGATGGCTAGCTTACACTGGCTAGAAAAGATGCATACTCTCTTGCAGCTTGGTAAGCAAAACAATACCATTTCATAAATTCCTTTATAATGATAAGTGCCACAGAGAAAGAAAGAAAAGAGAGAGAACAGAGATAATGATTACCAATATCCCATTTGTTTAACCCTCTTCTACCAGCTTTCAATAAAAATGTTTAAGCTTCCCAGTAATAGCTTTACAAGGCATAGGTTTTGAATGGTCAATATTACATTGAGCTATACTTTTCAGGAAAGACATGATAAAGTAAAGAGAAGTAGATATTTTAAACTCTGTGCATATGAAAAGTTCAAAACCGAGCATCAAACGTAAACACAAGCCCAAAGACAGGCATATAAACACATATAAGAAGCTGCTTATCTGGAACTGAATATTTGGTTGGACTGCCTCCCTGGAAGGAAAGGTCAGCAACACCCACAACCCATCTATCAAGAGCTTGCCAAAGGAGAACCTCTCTTCCTTCAGTTCAGAGTCCAGCTACCAGTTTCCTGGGCAGGGACAATGTCAGAGAGCAGCATTGTTGGGCAGCCCCTAAGGCTAAGCACCCCAGGAGGGCCCATTGCACTGAAGTACACAACAGGTATATGAAAGAGGGCAGGATATGTGAAGAACAACTGTGTTTATTTCCTTTAAATGACCTTACACATTATCACAGCTAATCTGGAAGGGAAGGAAAAAGCAGCACATGCATAATCTGGTATACCGCACACTATTCTTCTTCAGCACTGTGAAGCAGGGAAGGTCTTTCAGCAACCACTTCAAACTTACTGAAATGGAGTTTCTTGTACCCTGTCCTATCACCAAAAGTACTCTGTAAATATCTTTCCCCCTTCAAAGCAGAGAATGAGCAGCTAGTTGTGGAAGTGTGAAAAACAGAGACTATAAGGTGCCCCAGCACCTGCGGGCAGAGTAGTGGGGAAAAGGAGAAGGGAAATGGCCACAGATTCTCTCCTTGCCACCAGAGAAAGAAAACTTGCATCTCTAACCTTGCTATCCTGAAATGACCACACGCAACCACAGAGATTCCTACAGGACAATGCTAACACTGACTGTAGAGGAGATGGGGAATGAAGGAAGACTATTCCTGTTAAGTGATTTGTTTGTCTTGCTGCTGCTCCTGCTTCCCCTTCCTGGTTCAGGACAGGAGAGCACCAGGAATGAAAGAAGACTAGTCCTGTTAGGCTGTGATCACACACACTAAATAATCCACTTTCAATCCACTTTCAATGCACTTTCCATCTACTGTGTGAACTGGCAAAATCCAATTCAAAAGTGCATTGAAAGTGGATTGAAAGTGGATTATTTAGTGTGTGTGATTGCAGCCTTAAGTGATCTGTTTGTCTTGGTACTGCTTCTGCTTCCCCTTCCTGGTTCAAGAAAGCACAACTGAGGGGAATGCCCCATCCCTTGTCAGGATTTACCCTCAATATAACACACATGGTGTGGCATGCCATTGACGCTACAAAGATTATTGTTTATATAAGCACCATCAGCATGCAAGGGATTTCACGGAGCTCACAGCCTAAAATTCTACAGGAGGAGAAGCAATGGGGGAGGAAGGAGGAGGATGGGTGTGAGAGTGAACAACAGTAGAGTACATATTCAGGTCACTGGGGAGACAGGTAAACAAATAATTCAATAAATGTTTTTGTCTTGCTACTCAGTCTGCCCATTTATGAATGGAATCTACCTGCTATCTGAACTTAGGACCAGCATCTTACTACAAAATAAGCTTCTTCCTTGTGCCATGCTGCTGCAACCACTGTGGAGGCCTGTATTCTTCAATATAACACAAGCAAGCAAAACATTCCAAAGATGTACACACTCCCAGAAAACGGATGGAAGGGACTTCCTGATGATGCAGAAGTTTACACGGCCTATCAGACTTAATACTGACAAAAAGAAAATCCAGGCACATTAGAATTGTTTTATGGTCTCAAAATCATGCTTACTTCTCTATTAAATCCAGTGTAACTCCTGGTACCAGTCTCACACTCTTCTGCATGCAAAACCTGCAGAGAAAAGAAGAGATTAAACATAAATCACACAAATTAAATATCTAATAACAGGCTATCTACAGGTTCTGTGGTAGAAACAAGCTCCTCATTATTTTTGTCCCCATATGTAAGGGTTGACAAAAGTTTGCTACAGCATAGCAGGAAGCAAGCATTCCTGCAAGCATTCCTTAATATTTGCCGCAACCACGATTATGCAGTGATTTCCATCGTCACAGTGTCAAGCTTGTGTATTGTAACTGCCACAGTGACAAGTTTCCAAGCACACTAGGAATGGAGAGAAAAGAGGTAAAAGGTTCAGTCGTCCTCCACAATTTCTAGAGAGCAGGACCTACAGGAATAAAAATAAAGCTGAGCTAATGAAACAAATGATCCATGTTAGCTGGAGTATCTGAGTAAAACAGGTTAAAACAAAAATCAATTTCATAGAGTCACAATTAGCCAGGGAAGGATCATTGACGTTAAGTCCTTCTCTAATTCCTCCAGTTTGACCGAAACAGTCCAGAGGAGTAGACTACAAGCAGTGAATAGTTGCCAGACCACAAATCTGTAATACTAAATGACTTAAGAAAGAAATATTTCATATGCAGTCAAGGATCTGGCTAGCTGTTTCAAATCATTGTGAACTTCAGCCCTCCTTCTCCTCCACCTTGTATCTCTGGCCCCTCTCTAATTCTTTCCCTGTTGTGCTGCTCTCAGACTCCTCCCTGTGGCCTTCTCTACTTACCCATACTGGGACTTCCTTCAGCCAGTGCTTAACTTCTAGACAAGAAAATATTGGTAGGGGTGTGCAAATTTTTTTCCCCATTCCCCCCCCATTCAGGTCTGTTAGACTAAAAAAATATTGGTATTCAGAATATTCCCAAATAACCAATATCATTATACTCCACAGAGTATAATGGAGAATCGATTCAGGGGTATTTGGGGCTCTTGGGGGGGGCTGTTTTTTGAGGTAGGGGCACTGAATTTGCAACATAGCTGCTGGTGCCTCTCCTCAACCCCCCCTCAGTTTTAAAAAGATTGGACCATGGGCCCTCCAAAAAGGTGCCCCCATCCGCCATTGAAAGAAATGGAGGAGGAAAATGAATTTAAAGAGACCACGGTCTCTTTAAATGCTTGCTAAGTTCACTTGCCAACTTGCACTGCCATGGTGGCACAACTCAGCAAGTGAATTCAGAAGGGATTTAAATTTAAATGCTTGCTGAATTCACTTGTTGAGTTGTCACATGACTCTACAAGTAAACTTAGAAGGTATTTTTTTTGTATTTTTCCATTTGTGTGTGTATGTGTGTGTGTATGCTGTGTCTGGAAGTCACGGCAACCTCTGGCAACTCCTACTGGGGAATGGAGGATGTTTAGAGAAGTGGCTTGGTAGCCTGCCTCTGCCTCCTGACACTGGTATTCTTTGGAGGTCTCCCATCCAAATACTTGCCAGTGTCAGCCCTGTTTAGCTACCAAGATCTGATGAAATTGGGTCTGCCTGGGATATCCAGGTTAGGGCAACTCAGACGGCAGTTAAAGAGACCCTGGTCTCCTTAAATGCCTTCTAGATGTGCTCGAATAAAAGCCAAATAACATCAGCTTTTATTTGGGCACAGCTATTTCAGTAGCTGAATCAGATTCTCTAATCTGTATTCAGCTGAATAAATGCCCGAAAAATACATATAAGGTGTTTTTCGGGTATTTATTTGGCTCGGTATATACCGAGTGCAAACCCCTAGATATTGGCTCTCAAGTCTGTATGGAAAGAACAACTTTCTCATCTAAAAGCCTATATTGCTGAGAGGCAATGGTTCTTTTTCTCTAAGAAATATGGAAGTAAATGAACACAATTTTAAGAAGGAAAATAGATTTATTTAAGTAGTCTAAAGTAGTCTACAGAAGAAAACCACATCTACAGAACACCCAGTGCAAGAGACTAATATGCTTACATCTCTTCAGCTGCAGGAAAACCCTGAAGAATGACAGTGGATGGGGCCTCCCCCTGGAAAACTGCACAGCACTGTTTCATTCTTGTCAAGACCAGTATGACAAATCTCTTGTAGTTAAATGTATACAAGTCTAGGGAACAGCTCAGAGATGCGAATCTCAGCCCAGGCTGATATCACAAAGCAGCGCATTGGGGGCAGGGACTGCAGAAACTGGCATCATGTAACACTCTAGGAATTCCCCAAATCTTAGTGGTTTTTACTGCAGAGATATGGGAAACTCCTGCAGCATTGCATGATGCTGTGATGTCACTTCCAGGTACAAATGCATTAACTACACTGCAGTATCGTGCAATGCCACCACCACCCTTTGCTCCTGCTGCTACATCAAACAGCAGTAGGATTCAGTGCAGCCTCCTCAAACACCAGCTTGAGGCTGTTCTTGAAGTAAAAATGAAACAATAAAAACATAAAGACAATATAAGAATTACTACAATTAAAACAAGAGCACAAAGCACTGAAGTTCGTCCTAAAACAACTAAAAAGGTTGTTTTAACTCTTCAATTAAAAGGCTAAGTAGAGAGAAATATTTTAGCCTGGTGCCTAAAGGACAGTAAAGCAGATGCCGGGTGAGCCTCAAGAGGGAGAGTTCCAAAGTTGAGGGGCCACCACTGAACAAGTCCTGTCTGTGGCTACCACCTACACCACTTCTGCAGGTAGGGGCACAGGGTGCATAACATGGGGAAAGGATCTTAGCTGACAGTCTGGACAATATGGAACAAAGTAGTTCTTCAAGAATGTTCCAAGCCACTTACAGTGTTAAAGGTAAGAACCAGCAATTTAAATTTTGCTCATAAACAGACACTGCCTGACAGTAACCTGGCAGCCACATTCTGGACCAACGGAAGCTCTGGGCAGTTTTCAAAGGAAGTCCCACATAAAGCTCATTGCAGTCATGAAACCTGGATGTCTTCTTCTACCTGCTATAAAATCAGAATGACTCATCCACTGCTAGACTGGCACCCTTCCATCTGTGGCATTAGGACAGCTCAGCCAAACATTGCTATCACCAAATACCTCAGACATTTACACACTGAGCTAATGCACAATACTTCACTACTTAATCACCCATTTTAACTATACACTGCTTGCTCACCACCCTTCTGACTTAGCCTGACCTTGAAATATTACACATTATTTCTGTAAGTACCTGTATGCCATGAGCGCATTCATGCAATTTATTCATTTGTGCGTGTTTGTGTGTGTGTGTAATTTTATATAATTTTTATAATTATTGTCATGCATATTTCCCGAGAAAAATAAAGTTTTATTTGTTAACAAATCCAACAGCTCAGACTGAGAGGGAGAAGATACAGGATGCTAATAATAGACTAATCAGGACAGGGAAGCCAATGGATGGTTGCTAGAATAAACTATACCCATATATGTCTGCGGCTTCCCATTACTATCTGCTGCTTTTGTGGACGTAGAAGCTGTATAACATATTCAACCCTCTTAAAGATCATGGATGAAATTACGACCTCCAAACAGCAAGAGTAAAGTTAATGAGGGAGAAAAAGAAGGTAAAATTTGTACCTGAAGCTTAATCACGAAATCTCTCTTTTAATAATCGTTTTTATTATTTTAAACAAACAAATAGACAAACATACATACATACATGAGAGTAATAATAATATGTCTGATTACAGGCCTATGTTAAACACTACACTACAATCTCTTCAGCTAGGATGACAAAATCTGAAATGAAGGCACACATATAGAGAGTGCCCTTTTAGGCTCTGCATAACTCGGGCGTCTAATCAATATGCCTTCAGTAGCATCTGCAAAGTGTCAGGATGTGCTGCTTGATGGTCACTGACTTCCTTAGCATCTGGTTCCCATGGGACCTGAACTCACCATTTTTAGCTTGTGAAACGTGACAAGACGATATCAGAGTAATGGCATAGCTTCTGGCCACTCAAAGGTGTCACATCCATTTTTACCGTCTCCTTCATCAAGCTCATCTAGGCTATACTTCAGGAGCCTAAGGATCGAACTGTGGTCATAGACCTGAGTGCATGATCCAAATAGAACCTCTTGGGAGACGTATTCTAGCATTTGCTTTGTGAGCAGCAGGCTTTTGATTAGGGCTTGGTGGTTGAGCTGTCGCAGACCTCCCACACACCTAATAGAGCTGGGGAATGTCATTGTGTCAAGTATTTCATTCTGCTTCTTTATATAAAAAAGAAAGAAAGAAAAGAAAAGAAAAAAGTGCACGTCTGGGGTCAGTTTAATAAGGTATTTCCACAGACTCCACGCAGTACAAAGATGTCATTTTGCTTTCTTCCTCTGGGGCATTCCACAAATACATATGAGCAGGATGTAAATAAAGCTGAGACTTCAGAAATTTCAAGAGGGCCTTCAGCTTCTCAAAGGCAACAGAATAATGAATCAGATCGGTCTGCTTTTGATCAGTAAGGAAAATACTCTTTTCTAGGGCACAGCCAGTTCACCATAGACCTGCTTGGTATTTGACATAATGGCATAAAATCAGCAAGGGCTCATCACTTTCATGTCCACAGAGCTGCAGCTACCGCAGGTCTGCCATCATGCTTCAGAATAGATTAGTGAAGGAAACACTCCTAATCCTCTCCTTTAATGAGCACCTGCTGTCACCAGGCTAATTCCATGCAAAACAAACTAGCATATATTGATTCTTTATCGTTAGGAACCTCTGCATTTTCTCTTGTGAAAACCAAAGATAAACCAGACAGGTTTGCTTATATTTTGTTTTCTTCATCCCTATTAACTTGTAAAGGACTACACAGCAAAATCAAAAATTATTTATGGTATCAAGGCTAGTCAGGAATGACCAAATCATTGCACAAATGTGTTGGTAAGCATGCATGAATGGAAGACTGCATATACATGGCACTCAAACAGCTCCATAGTAAAAACCTATCTAGGGCTGCGGTCACATGCAGCATTAGCCACGCAAGAGATACGGAAGACAGGTGGAGTTTCCGGGCGCGATCTCACCAGCACATCTGGGGAGCGTAGCGCTTCCGT